TGTGTGTGTGGTTGTTCAGTCTTAAGGTGGTTAGGGGAGGCCCTAAAAGGAGACATTTGACATTTGCGCAGACCTGAATGAGGTGAAGAGTGAGCCATGTGTATGTCAGAGGGAAGAGGATCCTTCATGGCAGAAGGAACGGCAAATGCAGAGGTCCATACGATGGTGGGCCTGGTGGGTTTAAGGAACATCTGTGTGAAGGGAGGGACATGATAGGGAAGGAGAAGGGGAGGGGGTGAGGTTTGAGTAGTACAGGGTGTCTGTGTGGGAGGTGGACGGGGGCTAAGGATGTAGGACCTTGAAGACCACTAAGACTTTGACTTTTTAAAAAAATGTATTTCGGAGGGAAAGGCGGAGAGAGAAACATTAACAAAGAGAGCACAGCACCGATTCACCAGTCAGCTGCCTCCTGCACGGGGGACCGAGCCTGCAACCTGGGCACATGCCCTTGACTGGGATCCAATCCAGGACTTTTTAGTCAGCAGGCTGACGGACACTCTATCCACTGAGCCAAACCAGCTGGGGCTCTTTCCAATAATTAAAAATTTTTACTATTGGCCATTTCTTTTCCGCTTAAAGAAGTCTCTTTAACATTTCTTGTATTGCTGGTTTAATGATATTGAGTTCCTTTAGTTTTTGCTTATCTCAGAAATTAAGACTTTAACTTTTACTCTGAGCCAAATGGAGAGCCACCCGGGAGTTTCCAAGAGGCAGAACATGGTCTGACTTTCCTTTCACCAGGATGACACTGCCTTCTGCGGGAAGAGCAGAGCAAACGCAGAGGGTGTGGCAGGTCAGGAGGGAAGCAGCCCAGTAAAGGAGCTACCGCAACAATCCAGACAAGAGACGTGGCAGCTTGGATCAAGCTGGTAGTCGTGAAGGGAGGGAGAAGCAGGATTATTTATTATTATTTGTTTTATCGCGGAAAATTAAAATAAAATAAAATTTAAAAAGCCCCGGACGGTGTGGATCGGTCGGTTGGGCTTCGACTGCCGGTTCCCTTCCCGGTGGGGGCGGCACTATAGTTACCCTGGCAACGACGCGCCGCACCAGCGGAAGCAGTGACGGCAGGGGCTGCGCGAGTGGAGACGGAGGCGGGGCTTCCGGCGGAAGTGGGCTCTGCCGCTGCGGCTCGGG